CGGACATACGAGCCGCAGTCACAGATACTCGGGCGACCGATCACTAGAACCAATCCAAAAAAAAAAAAAAAAAAAAAAAAAATGTCAATTTTTGAGAAAATTCTGTTGTCAAGTAATAGATATCATTCATTTTTATTCCAAAGTTTTAATTAAATTCAAATTTATTTAATTAAACAGTTCTTTTATTCCAAGATAAAAGATGGACTTTTTCAATGTAGTAAATTCGTCACTTATTTAGCGATCGATCCAAATGTAAAAAAAAATATATATTTAAATACTAACGGCTTAAATATACTATTGAAAGGATCCAAATTTAAAGTAGACCCTAAAGCAAATAAAGCGCTGCGTCCAAAAAGTGATCGAACTCGAAATAAAAAAATATAAAAAAAAAACACACCTCAAACGATACAATCCGAAGAGAAACCTATAAAAGAAAGAATAAAGGCGAAGATTTTTTGAAAAAAAGTTCAATTACTGCAGCCCGATCGTCTTTATCATTTTCTAAATTAAAAGAAACATCCAGATTTAATATTTTTTTTTCGTTTGTAAGCAAAAAAAATTGAACCTTCATACGAAACATGAAGTACAGTATATCAATAAGAACGTCAATAAAATCTAAACTTCATTTAGCAATTAAATATAAAATTTTGGTTAGTTCAATCAGCACAAAAAGTATACTTTCTACATTAAGCAAAATGGTAAAAGCTTTTTCAACATCCTTCTCTTTATGCTAATGAAACTTTAATTCTTTTTATTAGAATTTCTCTTATTTATAAAATTATAATTAATTTACATTTTATAGATTTATTAAATAGTGTAGTTGCAAGAGATAAATCTTCGTGAAATATGCATTATAAAACATCACATTCTTATTAATAATTAGATGCTTCAAATTTCAGATAATTCTCTCATTTCTACCACCAAGTCATAAATTAATTTATTGATTTTACAAAATCCTTATTAAATATTTTGCTGTAGATTCTGTTTGATTTCTTGTCTAACAACCTGAATTATATCATTTTTAAAATTTTCCAAGTCAATCTGTTGTAATACCCTTTGATTATCAGTACTTGAAGTTACTATTGAATTGTTTTCAAGTTTTGGCTTGGAAATTGTTATAACTTTGTGATTAGAATTATCATCTTCATTTCCAGGAGTTGGTATTGCTCTTTTATATTTCAATTTATTTTTATTCCATCTATAAAATAATTTGCTTCCATATGATGAAATTTTATTAATATTTCTAGTTGGAACCTTAACTTCATTAGAATCATCACCTTTCTCATTTCCAGGAGTTGGTATTGCTCTTTCTACTTCCCTTCCAGATTTATTCCATTTCCATTTATATATAAAAAAGCCTCCAAACGATAGTAAAATGCCACAGATTATTGATGTTATCACTATCCCAATTATTGCCGGTATTGATAATACGCCTGTGCTTTGTGCTGACTTTGTTGAAGTATTTTGTGGTTCTTTTGGTATTAAAGGAATTTTAGCAGGATTAATTGATGGTGACTTTTTTTGTTCTGAAGGATTGGTTGACGATTCAGTAATATCAAAATCGTAAGTCCATACATATTCTTCATCATTGCTAATATCAAGCAATAAAATATCTTCATTTAAGTCCTTTCCATCCGTATCTTTACCTATACCTATTAATTTAATATTAAATTTGTAAATAATATCAAGGTAATAGACATTAACAAAGGAAAAAATTCATATCTACCAAATGATATAACCATGTACTTTCCAATAACATTCGCTTCATGCCAACCTCTGGTCTGTGCCGGATATGTACCAGAAGTTTTTGGAAGTGACCATTCAAAATTTGCCAAATTTAAAATATAAAGTGCTTCCTGAAGTTCTATATCATTATCTCCTGCTGAACCTCCAAAAATTATTACTCGTTGTCCATTTAACCCTTTGATAATTACATTATTATTGTTATTGCTAATTACAATGCAAACAATTCAAAACCACTTTACAATTTTTTTTTTTTTTTTTACTTACCAAGAACAGTAGAGAAAGAATTTCTATCCGTAGGAATTTTACCTGAAGTTATCTAATGTAAAAAAATTATAAATATTAAAGTATCTACACTAAAAAAAAAATCCATCAATAAACCACCTGCCTTTGTACTCCAATTATCATTAATCGTATCATATTGATAGACCTAAGATTTTATTAAACTTTCAATATTTTATAATTTATTAATAATTCATTTTTCAATTAGTAAATCACCTCTTTTAATGGTAAAGCAGAATTTTTTTGATCATAAGAGCCACCTATTTTAATAGACATTTATTTAACAAGGTATTGAGAGATAACATTGATAGTATTGATTTATATACTTACCAAAATATATTATAAAATTACTTGGGACGAAAGTTACACCATAAAGACATCTTTGAGTAGGTGCATCAACTTTACTTCCCAATTTCAAGTTCAAATTTATTGTATCTAAAATAAGCATATCATTAGATAGAACTTCATTTGTGTCTTTATATTTTCCACCAAACAAATACATTTTCCCTTTATCATCAACGATGCCTTTTAGATTATGTGTTCTCTTGACATTCTCTCCATTGGCTATTTTTGGAACACTCCATGTATTACTTTTTGTATCAAACGCATAAAATAATTCCATTTCTACACCATCATAATTCCCTATATATAAAAACAAAATATCTTTACTTGGACCACCACTGACAGATGCAGCTGCACGATGTGCTGGAACAGTATTGATATCTGTTAGATTATGCCATATGATATTTTTAACATTGAATAGAACAGAAACGTCAAGATAAAAAAATTGTTTTCCAATATTTTCATTATTAGTAGTTGTAGTAACTCGACCGCCTAATATATAAAGCTTATTATCAATAAGTGTAGCAGTGTGAGCGTACCGCTTAAATGGCGTCATTTGACAATTTACTTCGATTACCAATCGAATTAAAAGCCATAATATAATATAGTTCGAATAATTCTTTGACATCACTAAACTTTATCTAAAAAAATAATTATATTGAAAAAAAAAAAATAATAATGTTTATTTATAATAAATATTGATATATTTGTCACGGTTCCATAAAAATAAATTATTTGTATTACGCAGATCGTGTAACAGCATAATTTTCATCTCGCATCGCACTGGTTGCATTTTTTTTTTTTTTTTTTTTTCATAATAAATATTTCATTTCATTAACAAAAATGAATAACTTTTTTTTGGCGTATGTGCATGTGTTTCACATTCTTCATTTACCGTAAGACCATCTGCACCTGAAAAAAATGCAATAATATGCAATTGTGAAGAATCTCCACTAAAAAAAGCAATTTAAAATTTTGCATAATAAGATAAATGCAGTAATCTGCAAATTTTGAAGAATATTCGCTAAAGAATGAAATTCAGAAATTTGCATATGGGGGCTAAGCTATTAAAATCACCTTACGGGATAAGAAATTGATTTTGAGAAATGATGATTAAAAAATGCTACGCCACAGTAAACATTTTTAACCAATAATAAATTGTTCTATTTTTAAATATTAAGTCGAATTTGAAATTTTTACTATTAAATTGTTATTTTATAATATTTAAAATTTTGCTATAATAAAATATTTAAAATTTATTATTTAAAATTATTTTACAGAACTAATTTTTGTAAAACTTGAAATCAATTTCATATCACTTGAGATTTGGCTATTAAAAATTACCCTACGGGCTATTGTTACACTAATTTTATACTTAAAAATCAATTTTGTATCACTTGAGATTTTGCTATTAAAATCACCCTACTGGACATTACACTAATTTATTAAAAAAAAGTTTATATATTAAAATAATTATTTTTTATTTTTTTTTATTTAAAAAAAAATATTTTGGGGTATTAATTGCCTCCTAGACCACCTATTCAAACACACATTCAAACTATTAATAATGGTTTTAATTAAAGTTAAAAAATTTTGAATTTTATAAAGGTTCAAAACTTTTTTAACTTTTAAATAATAATGTCGATCATTTCCAAATTTTATGTCGATCATTTCTAAAATCTAATTTTAGATTTTTTGACTGATGTTACACAAACAAAATGAGAAATTTTGACGGCCTAATTGCTTGCTTTGTTAATAAGATAATTGACTATAAAAACTTAACCAAATAAAGTTCATATATTATATAATAATATGAATCAAAAATCTCAATTATTGTTGGTGGGATCCTATAAGGTGATTTTAATAGCTTAGTCCTCATATTAAGTTAAATTCAGTGAATATGCAATTTCAGAAAATCTTCATTAAAAAATGGCAATTTGAAAATTTGCATTTTAAAGTAAATTTGGTAACCTGTAATTTCAAAAAATCTTCACTAATAAAAATAGCAATTTGAAAATTTTCATTTTAGGATAACGTATAAATAAGCAAGTTTGAAAAATCTTTACTGTTATAAATTTAGTTTTTAATAATTTAGTTAAAATTTAAAATAAACAAATTTACTTTATTATTAAAAAATATATCTATTCATTAAGAACTGATTTTTATTATGAAATCTTAGTATAATAGGAACAGCTTGTTCAATAGAATCTAATAATACTATATTATATTCTTTTAATATTAATAGTCTAGAACATCTATAAAGATCTGATTCCTCATTATCTTGTTCACAATAATCATATCATATTATTATTACAAATGTATAATTGTTGACATTATATTAACTATTTTCATATAACTTACCTAAAAGCAATTCCTAATATAAAAATAAAATTAAAATAATACTTATTAATATATTATTAACCTTTCCAAAGCATGCCTCTTAATCTGTAATATAATTAGTAGTATATCTGTTTTTACTATAATAGCAATATTACTAAACTATGAAATATTATTATAAGATGAATTCGCATGAATAATATTTATAGATTTTAAAGTTGTATTTTTATTCTATATATGTATTATGCCAGTTCACTTAGAAAATAGTCATGCTACCTTCTCAGATGGGTCATAAAATTACCAATCATATAATTTAGAAAAATAATAAAAAATTGCAACATGATATAAAAACAAACATATCATTTAGATCTGATGAAATCTTTATTTTAATTATTTTTTATTTTATTTTTTATTTCTTTATTTTATTTTATTTTTTAAAACAAAAAGAAAACAAATAACAAAAAAGAAAAAAAGTAAAAAAGAAACTAAAAAACTAGAGAAACAAAGAATAAAAGTACTAAAGAAATAAAAAATAAAATACCTAAAAAATAAAAGTACCAAAAAACTAAAGAAACAAGAAACAAAGTACCCAAAGAATTAAAGTATCACAGAACTAAAAAAATAAAAAAAAAAATACCAAAAGAATAAAAGTACCAAAAAACTAAAATATCAATACTAAAGAAATAAGAAACAATGTATCCAAAAACAAAAGTTCTAAAGAATGAAAGTACCAAAGAAATAAGAAACAAAGTACTTAAAGAACAAAAATACTATAAAATAAAAGTTCTAAAGAAATAAGAAACAAATTATCAAAAGAATGAAGTACCAAAGTTTGACCAAAGAACTACTAATAAAAGTACCAAAGAATCACCAAAGAACTACTAATGAAAATACCAAAGAATTACCAAAGAACTACTAATAAAAGTACTAATGAAAATACCAAAAAATCACTAACGAAAATATCAAAAAACTATCAAAGAACTATTAATTAAGATATTAAAAATGACCAAAAAATGATCAACTAAAGACTAAAAGTATCAATAAAAATACCAAAGAACTACCAAAAAATGACTAATAAAAGTACCAAAGAACTATTAAAGAAAAAAAATGATATTAAAAAATAAAAAGCTAAAATAAAAAAGAAAAAATAACAAAAAATAATAAATAATATTAAAAATTAAAAATTAAAAAAAAATGTAAAAGAAATAGTTTTTAAAAATAATTAAAATAAATGAATATAATAAAAAATACCAGATTAGAGGGAGAAAAAATTAAAAAAATAAAAAAAATTAAAAATAAAGTAAATAAGATAACAAATTAAAAAAAAAACTAAAAAAATAAATAAAAAAGAAAATGAATTAAAAAAAATATAAAAAATATGTAAAAAAAAAAAATAAATAGATCAAGAAGAAGAAAAGGGAAAAAATCTATAATAATATTAAAAAGAAATAAGAAAAAAAAGATAAAGGTAGGAGACTAAAAAGATGAAAAAAATATTAGAAAGGGTAAATTAAAAAAATATATATGAAAATAAAAAATAAAAATAAAATTTAAAAAAAATGAATTAAAAAAATAATAAAAAAATCATTCAGAAAGTGGAAAAATAAAAAAGTGAATATAATAAATTAAAATAAAATAATCAAATCAAATAAAAAAAAATATCAGAAGAGAGAAGAAAGAAGAAATACAAAAAAGATCAGAATAGAGAATAAAAAAAAAAATATAAAAAATAAAAATATAATTTTTAAAATTAAAAAAATTATTATTATAGTAGCTGTTACCTATAAATAACATAAATGTCAAGTAATTTTAAAATTTTATAAGTTGTAAAATTAATAATAAATTATAAAATTAACCTAATAAAATAATAAAGCAACATTAGCTAAACATTTTTATCAGTTTAGTTTTTAAAATATCATAGAAAATTTCTGATTTATTTTAATTTAAAGTCTGATAAATATTTATATGACACATATTGTAAAAAGAAAAATTTGAACTACTGATCAGTATTTTGTATACAAGTTTTAGATACATTTTTATATATCTTTATATTTCTTATGTCTTAATCACTTAAATATTCTTACATTTTTCACGTCTTAATTACTTAAATAATTATAGCATGTCTTTCAAAAAGAAAAATTAAAGCCAATGAATAAGAATGAGATAATAATAGAAAGTTTACAAAAAAACTATGATTTGTTGATGATTAAAGTGATGAAGATAACAGTAGATGAGATGATGAAATAGAAATTTTAAATGAAAAAAGTTGAATTAATATAGTTAGATAATGTATATTTAAAAAAAAACACAGACTTTACCTTACTAGAAAAATGAAGAAATCCATATATTTTGATAAATATGATTCTAATAGCTAGCTATTTTACAAAGGTTGTAAAAGGAACTGCTAAAATATTAACATTTATGAATATATACTAATTGACACTAATTAATTATGAGAAAATCTTAGATGATGTGGAAGATAAGGAATAAAATCCTCTTAATCTAAATGAAAAAATTGAAAACTTGAGAATTAAGTTTAAAGAATGACAAAAGTCAATGACTGTAACTAAATATACTAAGAAATGGGTAATATTTGAATATTTGATAAGACTAGATAACAATAAAAAAGGAAAGGTGAAAGCTAATGTGAAGTCTGCATAGTTAGTTTTTATTGAAAGTGCATCATATAAAGCAAGATTCATTAGATATTAGGTAAAGTATTAGCTCTAATATAATTATCTTCTAGTAAGCTATTAAGGTAAATATAAAAAAATAATATGATTAATAGATAATGAGAATGTAATAGAAAAACGTCATACCTGGATTTGTTCTTAAGGTGAAATAATCACTCCATTAAAATTCAAGGAATTTGTTGAAAACAAATTACTTGTTGATTCTAGAATAATAAAAAAAAACTATTAGTATAATAACTGTAATATATTAGTTGAATATACTTGATTATTTTTTTCAATCTCAAAAATAAAGTAAGTATTTATTAAATATAGATTTCAATATTACTTACCTTAGATTTTTTTCTTAAATTTTTCAATAATACAAAAATAGGCATATATTATAATAGTCATAAGTATCTCAATAATAAAATATTGTCAAATATTTCTGGACGAAATTTATTATTATAAAAAGAATATGGCAAAATATGAAGATGAAAATATAGAATAAAAACCACCAATATTAGGACCTAATGATAAGAAAATAATT